GAACTGTGCCTTTTTAAAGGCGTCCTTTAAAAGTTTCAGATACCTGCTGCAAATAAGTATCTTTGCTTGTTTACCCTTTAAGAGCCCCATCACACTCCCACACCACAGGGGCTGTAGTAGGCAAGGATGTGAATTGAAGATCATGCCTTGGAGAGCCCTTGGCCCCTTCCTTCATCGTGTCCAGCTTGGTTGTGTGTGAAGTGTTTCTCCAGGCCTCCTAACAGGGTCTCTTTCCCTTGCTTCTGGCACCTGACCTGACCTTCAGTTGTTTAGTGGACAATTTTTCTTGGATGCCTCAGACTCACCCTAAATTCAACATATGGTCATCCCATCTCAGCATGTTTTCCTCCCCAAAACTGTTCTTAGTCCTGATTTCCCTGTCTCTATTCTCTCTCACCTTCAGAATAATTTATCATTCCCTCCTTTTGCTTAAAATGAGTTATCAAAACAGACCTGGAGAGCATTATGCTAAGTGACATAAGCCAGTCAGAGAAGGACAAGTACCATATGATTTCACTCATGTGGAATCTAATGAACAAAATAAACAAAATAGAAACAAACTCATAAGTAGAGGGAGGAGGCGTGGAGGGATTGAGTTTAGAAAAAAGAGAACTCATGGGGAAGAGAAACAAACAAAACAAACAAACAAAACCAGGAGTGTCAGTTCTGTTGATGGCAGCTACCCCTGGTATCTCTATTTTCAACTCTTTGTGATGTTAATACTTATTTACAGTTATTTTCCATTATTGGTTGAATGACTTTTCCCTGCCAGACTAGAAACTCCATGGAGTCTGGTCTGGTTTCTTATGTCAGTATCCTGCATACCTGACACAATCTCTGTTCATGGTCAGCACTAACAAATAGCAGTTAACTACTCATTTTCTTTCTCTGATATGTATTTTTTTTTGCCCCATCCCCATCCCACCATTTCCAATGACACCTTTCCTAGTGAAACTATCAAGGCTTTTCACTTGGACTTTGAATGAGCCTCCTGTGGGAATATTTGGGTCATCATACATAGAGGAGTATAAATCCAGGTTCTTCAGCTTATTGTCTATGTAATCTTGGGGAACTTTTTGAGCATCTGTGTTTCTAAAATAGAAATGATAAAACTTGCCCATAGGGTTGGAAGATTAAATGAAATAATATATTTAAAGGCCCTTAGAAGTACCTGACATACAAGGGTTCTCAATGCATGTTGCCTAGTGGGGGGGGGGGTACAAAATGAGGGGCATAAAAGAAACAACCCCCCCCTAATTTGTAATATGTGTAAGATTATCCACCCTAGGACTTTATTTTCTTCAATTATCCTTTAAACCTAATGTCTGAATTGTATTCCCTCGGGACACTACTCCCCATGTTTGAAGCTAACACTTGTCTCTCAGGGCTTGAAGTGTTTCCTCTCTGGCAATATTTTTTATCTTAACAGATCTTCTAGAAGACCTCCAGAAAATGATTCTGAAGATGAGACATTTACACACATGGCAGGCGGGCTGGTGATTTCAGGCCTGCCAGGACTTCCCCCAGGGTTGTCTTTCCCCCATGGCTCTGCCTCTTCACTCCCTCCATCTGTCTCAGCTGCATCAAAAGCTGTAAAGATCAACCTATATACAGGACCAGATGGATTGGAGTCTTGCAAGACATTTGATCCTGTCCAAAATGTTCACCGACACATTTGGCCTCTGCCCAGAGGTTTTTGCTATTTGTTCCTGTCAGAAATGTCCACACTTAATAAAGCATCCCTAGATTCAAAAGTCCCAAAATATTTATTTTCACTTTGGGTTTCCCGGATTAATTCATAAAAATTCCATCATATTTCAGGTACAGATATTGGGTTGTGACTACATCATCAATAATAACCCTTCTAGCTTTGGGAGCCTCGCTGGTAATGGCACATAGGGTTGGGTAGATGGGTTGGCATGAACCAAAAGTGTCCATGGATGATTGGACAGGACCAAATGTCCACTGATTGATTGGAGAGTTCTTGCCTGACACTCTGAGACTCTGAATGGGTCATTTTTGCAGCAAGTTACATTCAAACATTAGATTTCCTGCCCTGCCCCTGTCCTAGTACCATTTTCCTTCTACAAATAAGGCCTACATTTGTCTTTCTAATCTTGCTCCAGGTGATTAGTACCATTGCCCCAATTCCTAGATTTTCTGCTGGGCCTGCTATATCTGATAGACGTTTGTCAATGCTAATTCTCTATGCCAGCCTGATTCTAAATTCCATCCGCTTTGGAATCACCTGTGCTTCTTTTCTACTTGTTTGTGTAGAATTTCCCTCCCCTGACACCTTGTCAACTGCACAGAGTGCCCAGCTTCTGGCCCAATAGGCTCTGGACACTACACTCTCTCTATTTGACTGGCCTCCCTTCTCGAACTGGTTTTTATAGTGCTTGGCCAATCCAAGAAACCATATGTAGAAACAGCACCTTCCAGTCTACCTTCACCAAGTGGAGTTAATTGGAACTTTCTTAGCTATAATCCCAAGATAAGAGAAATGGAGGAGCGACAGACCTTTTTGCTATCCATCTAATCATCATATGCAGAAAGTTATTTATTCTACAGAGAGCTAACATCTTTAATTCTTTGAGCTAGGCATAACCAGAAAGATATTTAAAGCACTTGGAGTATTAAACAAAACAAACCAAAACAAAACAAAAACACACCAAAAACCCCACTTGGTTTATAATTTACCCTAAATTCCCATATGTATATTATTACTGAAGTTTATCTGGCATGAAATAGTTTTGCTTAAGACAGATCTGTGAATCTTAGTCACATGACATCCACCATAAAGCCTATTATAAAATTATCTGTAAATTTCTCAACAATGGTAGCCTAAATTTTCCTTAATGTTGAAAACAAATACACAATAGCATAGTTTGCATGAGATGAGATGTGACAGATTTATGTAATTATAACTGCAAAGTGATAAGTAGTGATGATTTCCAAAATATTTGGAATGATTGAGGTCTGCTGAGGAAGCATGGCCTCTGTAATACCAGGATTAATGGCACATAGATCATCTGTCACATTTGGGAGTTGTTTGGAATTCTGCAGGCATTTTCCTACCAGCTCAATAATATAAACGGTGATTAAAATTGTAGTCTGTGGAATACACATCTTTGGTAAATTTGCAAATGTTTAATAAGCTCCTATGAGAAATGCATTTCATTTTCTAAGCAACTGATTAATAAAGGAAAATTTATATACAACTCAGAAGAGAACAATTGCTTATTTGTAGTGTCATATGGCATGACCTAAACAAGGACAAGCAGAGAGGACTCCTGCTTCCTCTGTGATGATGCAACGGGCACTAGACCTGCCCTGTCTTGAAAACAATTGGAAAACTGAATGAAGTGTTTCTCGATATTGGTTGACAAATGGCACTGGACTGAGTTACCTGAGAGGAGGAAAGTAAAAAAAAAAATGTCTCTTTAGGGTAAAACTCCATGAAGCAGAGCAAAAAGCTACCATGGAGCTGGAAACTGACCATTTCCTAATAGTTGAGTCCTGACTAGCCAGAGTGATAAAGCTCATTGTACATGTGGGTCTACTAAGGGCAAACTAAACAGTCTTAGTGTGAGGGCTAACCCAGCTCAACATCATTTCTTTACTAACAGAATCATGATTTTGATCATGGTGGCAATGTGCCCAGTCAAGCTTACTTTTAAAAAAACTTTAAATCACCTTTCCTTGCAGCTAGATTTGGTCATGGGATAGATCTGGGTAATTGTAATATAGGTGAAAATCAGTGTGAGGTTTCTGAAAAAGCAAGGAACAAGCTCACTAGGTTTCTGATTAAGAAAATGGTTGAGAAAAAGAAAATCATAATTTTTAACATTACTTTTTAAACTAATTTCTGTTGTTTTTTAAATACTTAAATATTTAGCAAATTCTTCTTGTTGGAGACTTTTCATAGCTACTCTCAGATGCTTTGTTTATTCAGATAAAAATCTACATTAAAAAAGCTAAGAGACATGAAAACATGCTCAAAGTCACTAATCATCTGAGAGATGCAAAACAACAATGAGGTACCACCTCACACCTGTCAGAATGGCTATCATCAACAAATCAACAAATGACAAGTGCTGGAAAGGATGCGGAGAAAAAGGAACCCTTCTTCACTGCTGGTGGGAATGCAGACTGGTGCAGCCACTGTGGAGAACAGTATAGCGTTTCCTCAAAAAATTAAAAATGGAACTGCCATTTGACCCAGTAACACCACTTCTAGGAAACTTTTTCTTGGGAAACTTTTCTGTTTCCCAAGAAAACAGAAACACCAATCAGAAAGGATATATGCACCCCTATGTTCATAACAGCATAATTTATAATAGCTAAGATTTGGAAACAGCCTAAATGCCCATCAGCAGATGAATGGATTAGAAAACTGTGGCACATCTATACAAGGAATACTATGCTGCTGTAAAAAAGAAGGAATTCTTACCATTTGCAACAGCATGGATGGATCTGGAGAGCATTATGCTAAGTGAAATAAACCAGTCAGTGAAAGATCAATACCACATGATCTTACTCATTTATGGATAATAAAGAACATTACAAACTGTTGAACAAAAATAGAGGCAAAGAGGCATTGAACAGACTGTCAAACTACAGCGGGAAGGGAGGGGAGGGTTGGGGGAGGGTGGTAAGAGATCAACCAAAGACTTGTATGAACACATATAAGCATAACCAACAGATGCAAGACACTGGGGTCGAGGGGGCGAGGGCAAGTGCAGGGGGGTAGGGGAAGCCAGGGGGAGGTCAGTAGGGGGGAAAAAAGGAGACATATGTACTACTATTTGCAATACCTTAAACAATAAAATAAAATTTAAAAAAAGTTTCTGTAAGCATTTTGCCTGAAATTTTATTAATTTGGGGGAAGACCACTTTATAATATTGGGTTTTTTCATCTATAAAAATTTATATCCCTCCATCTTTTATGTCGTTCAATAAAACTTTTATAATGTTCCCCATATCAAATACCCTATGGTTGAACTATTTATTATCTTGTATTCTGCAACTTAAAAAAAATTCATATATTGTAAATGTCCTAGAGAAATATAGTAGCTTTCTGTTCACCCTTTGCTAGTGGAAAGGGTGGATCGTTCCTCTACTGACATATATATAATTTAAAAAAAATCATATTAACCCTAATAAATTATCTGTAGTAGCTATAAAAAAATTCTGAATGAATCATCTTATTTGAATTTTGGTTGTAATTTTCTTAATTTAGAGAGTTGGAGGCAGTCTCACTTGGGTTGTGGAAGCAGACTGCCTGGGTTTGAGTTCTGATTATTATGCCACTTAGTAGTTGTATAACCGTGGGCAAGTTACTAATCTCTCTGGGTATCAGTTTCTCATTGGTAAAATGGGGGACATTATAACATTGACTTCTTAGGGTTGCTGTAAGGATTAAATGAGCTAATATGTCTAAAGTATTTAGAACAGAATCAGTCACATAAGAAGTGCTCAGTGTTAGCTAATATTATTTTAAATATATGTATATATTTGTAAAGTATGAATTCTATGATATTGAGTCTTATTATCCAAAAACAACTATGATCTTTATTATATTCAAACTAGGGGCCCGGTGCACGAAGATTAGTGCACTGGGGGGTAGTGCGGTGAAGGGGGTCCCTCAGCCCTACCTGCACCCTCTCCAATCTGGGAGCCCTCAGGGGAGCTCTCTCCAATCTGGGAGTTTCTGTCTGTCTTTGCAATCATATGAGTGAATTGTCTGAGATCCCCAACCCAGTTTGATTTGTTGCTCACAGAATAATAGAGGCTTTTTTTTTTCTTTGCTCCATTGGTGGAGATTTCCTGGAAGTTTTAGGATATCTTCCCTTTAATTTTTCCTAGACACTCTGATTTTACTTATGTCTCTCACCTTTGCTTTGCCTCCACCCCCAACTGTAAGAGTGCTCCAGGCTCACTTTGCTCTAGTGTAGCGGTTCTCAACCTGTGGGTCGAGACCCCTTTGGGGGTCGAACGACCCTTTCACAGGGGTTGCCTAAGACCATCGGAAAACACATATATAATTAGATATTGTTTTTGTGATTAATCACTATGCTTTAATTATGTTCAATTTGTAACAATGAAAATACATCCTGCATATCAGATATTTACATTACGATTCATAACAGTAGCAAAATTACAGTTATGAAGTAGCAACGAAAATAATTTTATGGTGGGGGGTCACCACAACATGAGGAACTGTATTAAAGCATCGCGGCATTAAGAAGGTTGAGAACCACTGCTCTAGAGTTTTTAGTATTTAAATATTTTATTAAAAATGTAAGCTTTTCTTTTTTAGAAAATCTCTAATTTAGGTGCGAATGATTCTACTTCAATAAAAATGCATTTGTTCTTTTTATTCTCAAATTATATACTTTCTGGATATGAAAAAAGGTAGCATGGTGAAAAATTGAATAATTCTGTTATCCCATGTCAATAAAAACTCAAGATTTAATTATATTTTGAGGAAAAAGAGAACATTATAAAATAATCAATTATCAGGTTTTCAGTTTGTTAGTTCAAGATATATTTTGTGATTTAAGTGATTTATATTTTACAACAGTTATCTTACACTCTTTTAAAGCACAACGTATTATTTTCTGGAAAGAAATGTAATGAAGAAACAAAAATGAATTTCATAAAATTGGTTACATTGGCTGCTTTTATTTCCAATAAACAAATATAATTCCAAATTGAAAAATATATGTACACCAAGGGAAAATACTGTTAATAAAGAGTGTTTCCAAATGTCAAAACCATGCAGAATGTGTAGTTTTGGAAATAAACTCTACAATCCAAATGTCATAAACACTCAAGTGACCTTTGTGTTCCAAACAGAGACCAAATGGCCAGTCTGGCTTGTGTTACCATGGTGACATACTTTGATGGAAGGACCTCTGATGAGGTTGAGCAGCGTGAATGATTAGGGGCAGTGCTGTGATAAATAATAATATGTGTCAGTGTAGAACCCTCTGCAAGAGATTAAGGGTGTGTGTGCTGAATAGATAGCATTGTTTAAGAAAATATACCAGCTAATGTCTATAATTAACGAGCAAATAAAAAGTAGTTTTAATATCTCTTTGGGGTTCTAAATATATAAATATAACATTAAAGAAAGACATCAATTAAATTTTAAGGACAAAAGTTAATCACAAGCATAATTTATTTTATTGTGCTTCTCAACAAATATCATTTGATATTTAGCCCAGGCACAGTATAAAGATAAATTCAACTCCAGTCACAGATGTTTGTCCCTACTATGTGGAAGGTATTGTTATGTTCAATGGGAATACTAAAATAAGAAAGACACCATGCTTGGTTGTGAATGAGTATTTAGTTCATAAATAATAAGTTCTGCTTTGTTATAACTTAGTTTTAACAGATCCAAATGAAGGACCATAAGAATTCACTGGAGGAGAATACTAACATTTGGACATGGGAATCAGGGAAATCTTTAAGGGATAGAAAGTCCTTGAGATAGGTAAAAAAATATGTAGTGAGAGTCTCACTGGAAGATGCAAGATTTGAAGGAAGAAAAGCAAAAGACGTGCACCCATAAGTGTTATCAAATGAATGTGGCTGGTATACAGGTGGGAAAGGGGACGCAGTTAGAGAGAAATGAGATTGGGTCAAAATGGCAGACTGAGCACATTCCTCATTCACCATAATTATCCTATGAAAATATGTTTAAAAGGAAAAAAATCCATAATAGCATGGAAAACAAGAATTATCTAATAAATGCACCAGAACATTTGAAGAATCTTTGATATAAATCAGTCAGGATCATGTATATGGTAGGATAGGTGCAGAGGGGCTCCAAGCATACAGGGGAAAAGCCAAGGAACAGGAGTGGGCCCAGGGAAATCTTCAGGGTAATTATTGGAGAAATAAACCTTGAGCTGTAAGACCAATGGATCTTCTCTCCTCTGATAAAATCATGGACAACAGAGCCATCTACCCCCAGCTGAAAGCATCAGGGTGGGTGCGGAGCTCAAGGTATAGGCAGGACCTCAAAAAGATACCAATATATAGGAGTGACTGGGAACCCTCACTCTCAGAAAAACAAGTTACACCTGTTGGAGAGGATAAAGGTACACAAATGCCCTTGGCATGTACATGGAGATGACAAGAATACTCTAATTGAGAAAATAAAGTGATTACTAGAAAAACATTTATATAAGAAATGAAACGATTTAGGATGAACAACTATTCGACAAAAGGGGTGAAAATGGAACAAGTAATGACCCATCAATCTAACAAAAACACTGATATAACCCACATAAGAAAAACAATAGTTCAGACCTGCCTTTAAAACCACCTTTCTCTAGGGTTCTTACTCAATGATGAGAGAGAATTAGTGATTGGCTGCCTCCTGCATGCCCCCTAGTGGGGATTGAGCCTGCAACCCAGGCATGTGCCCTGACCTAGAATTGAACTTTGACATCCTGGTGCATAGGTTGACACTCAACCACTGAGCCACACCAGCAGGGCATTCCTTGTATTGTATAGCTTAGTTATTTCCTTTGCTCAAAGTAACTAAGATTTTCACACAATTTCTGCTAATTTTGAGGGTTAAATAAAATAAATAAAGGATCAAAATATCCAGGAGGTGTGGGGAGAGAAGATAGAGCGGGGAAAGAGTGAACTGAGTACTCAGAACAAGGACCAAGGAGTCTGCCTGTAGAGTAGGGGTGATTCAGTCTGGTAGTTCCTCAGCAAAGTTAAGAAGATTGGCAAACCAGAAAAAGAGAATAATTGTTCTCTGAAAGAGCCCTTATTTAATGTACATACATGATGCAAAGTTATACAAATTTGTAAAAAATAAAGACTTGGAAAATTTAGCTATAAAAATTTAACTAACTAAATTTGATATACATGAAATTATATTTTACAGTGAGACCCAAGAGAGTGCACATTCATTGTTGTATTTTAATCAGTTTTGACTACTATCCCTGGTTCAAACAGAGTGTCATAATAGGATGGTCATGGGAATTAATACTTTGACCAGAGCTGCTTGTTTCTCTAGAGAAAGGATGATGACAGTTGTTCTTCTTCCCTCAGAATGATATGGAGATTCAGGACAAAAACTACAAAGAGAATATGTCACTCATTGCCCAATACAATCAGTGCAGGCTCCAGGAAATTAATGAAAATATAAAATATTTGTAGCAAAGGGTCAAGCCATGACAATAAACATTATATGTAGATAATTGGGAATTTCATATTTCCCTTTGCATTCACTCTGCAGATAAGAGTGGCCTAGATCCATGGTCTGCAAATCGCGGCTCGCGAGCCACATGCGGATCTTTGGCCCCTTGAGTGTGGCCACGAAGTTTCAATCGTACTGTACGTGCATGCCCCCACGTGGTATTTTGTGGAAGAGCCACACTCAAGGGGCTGCAGTTTGCCGACCACTGGCCTAGATTGTTATTAGAGTTGCTGATGGTTCAGTAATCATTTTCTAGAATAATAACTTTTTTTAAAAAAGGTACATCTTATAGCAAGCACTTATAATAGAAACTTTTCATCATATATATATATATATATATATATATATATATATACACACACATACTAGAGGCCCGGTGCACAAAAATTTGTGCACTCGGGGGGGAAGGGGGGGTCCCTCAGCCCGGCCTGTGCCCTCTCGCAGTCTGGGACCCCTCGGGAGATAACAACCTGCTGGCTTAGGCCTGCTCCTGGGTGGCAGAGGGCAGGCCCAATCCCTAGGTGCAGCCCCTGGTCGGGCTCAGAGCAGGGCTGATTGGGGAGTTGGGGCGCCGCCCCCTGTCATGCACAGAGCAGGGCGGATCGGGAGGTTGTGATGCCACCCTCAGTCACGCTCAGGGTAGGGCCGATTGGGGGGTTGGGGCACCGCCCCCTGTCACACTCAAGGCAGGGTCGATGGGGAGGTTGCGGCACCACCCCCTGTCATGCACAGAGCAGGGCCAATCAGGGGGTTGGGGCGCTGCCCCCTGTCACTCACAGAGCAGGGCCCATCAGGGGGTGGGGCTCTGTACCCTGTCACGCACAGAGCAGGGTCGATCAGGGGGTTGGGCGCTGCCCCCTGTCATGCACAGAGCAGGGCCCATCAGAGGGTTGGGGAGC